GGGAGTTACTATGACCATTATTATAAAGTTGAGAATTATGCACTTTTGTGAGAGACACATCACTTGCCCATCTAAAACCTTAAGGCGATAGGTGAGTGAGTTATTCCACATATATATGTTCAAGTCTCTATGTTTCTATCTAATGTGACACTATTTCTCCACTTACTCACACTTGCATTATTATTCTAAAAATTTTAACATTTGAAAATAAAAATTGTCTCAAATAAAGATATTGTTGATTAAAATAAAATAGACATTGTGTTGATAGTAACTCGTGAGATAAAAAATTGTTTGATGCGATTACAAAATGTATATAGATACAAATGCAAAATTTGAAATGATCTACTTTATTGTAAAATAAATAATAATCATATAAATTTAATTGTATTAAATAACGAGTAAAAGACCCGTGTGTTCGCTCGAGTCGCGCAAAGTCAATATATGAATTGAGAGAAAAAATTATTTCAATTATAATTGTTATATAAATATTAATTTAATTTAGGAGAATATTTAGATACAATTCCATATGTGTTTCATATTTTTCTCTGATAAAAATATAACAGATATATCTAAATATCTTTTAAATAGTAAAAATCTTTAATTTATTCAGTTATATATGTTGAAAATTATATGTTTTTAGTAAAAACATAAAGAAAATAATAAGTAGCCATCTACCCGAGCATTCATATGGATCACACAATGTCGTTATAAACACTAAATAAATAATATAGTGATGATTAAGAAAATAATTTAAAAATATATGTATATAAATTAAGTAGTCTTGATCCGTCGAAAATGTACATTTTAGTAGAAAAAATAAATGAAATAATTATGTAGTCATCTATCTGTGTGTTTGCATGAGTTGCGCAATATCGTCATAAATAGTAAATAAATATAGTATAATAATAGTTAAGAAATGTATATAAAATATATATACAAATTCTCGATTCGTCGGAAATGTATATTTTAGTATAAAAAATAAAAAAAATAATTAAGTAGTCATTTACCTCTATGTTCACATGAGTCGTGCAATATCGTATTAAATAATAAATAAATGTAGTATAGTGATTAATAAATGTATATAAAATATATAAAAATTAAGTAGTCTCAACTCGTTGGAAATTATATTTTTAGTAGAAACAAAAAATTAAATAGTCATCTATCCGTGTATTCATATGAGTCGTGCAATATCGTATTAAATAGTAAATAAATATAGTATAATGATGGTTAATAAATGCATAAAAAAGATATACAAATTAAGAAAAATAAAATATTTTAAATTATGATTGTAATAAAAATATTAATTTAATTTAGAAAGTGGTGGTATTACGTCAGAATGTACAATGAAATTATGTTAATTGAATTAAATATCAAATTTGAAATTATGATATATGGATATATAATTCTTAATTAAAAATAAAAAATCAATAAAAATCAAAATAATGTAGTTATTATGTATCATCAATAATTTTTCGAGATCGAAACCTATATTATGTCTGTCCGCTTTTTTTTTAAGATGGGGCGTTAACAAAGTGAACATAAATTTATTTTAAATTTTAAAGAGTAACATTCGTTGAACATATATAAATATTGATCATATATAATATATTATACTTTGTTATAAAATAAGACAAAATATTAGTGAGTAAAATAAAAAAATAAAAGACAAATAAAATACCGATAAACATATAAAATTTGTGTATTCACCAATCATAATTGTCTCATATTTTTTTAATAAATCTATAAAATAAATCATATTTAATTGACAGAATTAATTTTTATAGAAATAAAATGATATTATCATCTTAAAAATTATTTTCATTTCCGTTTATAAACCTATAATATTGTTTATTAATCTTTAAAAAATATTATTTATATATTAATAAGTGTAATTTTGAAAATAAGAGTTTTCTTTTCAAATAAAAATAATAGATTAAATAAATTCAGTATTCGACTGCGACTGATAGTGATCATAAGATAAACATTTTTATTTTACATAATATTTATTTTATTTATTTTAATCTTATTAATTTTTTATTATTAAATGGTTAAAACTAAATGATTAAAACTAAATGGTTAAAACTCCAAATACTTAAAGAAATTGCTTCAGGTGAGATTTAAACCTATATCCTCTACCACATAAACAATAAGCACTCCTACCACTGGCTAAGGCCATTTAGTTGTTAAACCCTGACACATGTTTTATATTATTACTTCTTAAATATATTTGTAGTTTTAATCTCACAAAATATATTTAAATATAAAAACTGAAATTATATTTAAAACTAATTACTATTTATGATTTTACTCTCATAAAACATATTTAAAATTAATTATTATTTATAATTTATTTTAAATAATGAATTGAAATTATATATATATATATATATATATATATATATATATATATATATATATATATATATATATATATATATATATATATATATATATATATATATATATATATATATATATATATATATATATATATATATATATATATATATATATATATATATATATATATATATATATATATATATATATATATATATATATATATATATATATATATATATATATATATATATATATATATATATATATATATATAACATTCAAAACATTTTAGACTAAATTACAGTTTTCATTTCCTATTTTGTTAATTCATGATCAGTTCTCTTATTTATTTAACAATAGACTCAACTTTATTGTAAAGCTTCTCGCTTCTTCTGATATCGGTTGTAGTGGTTGCTGTTATTACTTTGACCATGCTAATGTTTTTATATGTATTTTCATATATCAATGGTAATAATCAAATACTCGGTGCTTGAACTTTTTTATTTCTTAACACAAAGTATAGAATTGGAAAGTTAAAAAAAAAAAACTACAGTTTGAACAAGAATAAAGAAGAATTAAACGAGAATGAGAAGATTTAAATAGGAAGATTGAACAAGAATAACTTTATTTATTTTTTATTTTATCTTTGTTTTTAATAATATAAAAATGACATGTAGAAAAATTACAAAAATAATGTCACATATAAAAAAAATATGACACTTCAGTATTTTTTGGACAAAAAAAGACTATGAAGATCAAAACTATTTAAAAAAATAGAGAGACTGATTTTGTAAGTAAGATAAAATAGAAAAACCAAAACTGTAATTTAATCAATATTTTAATATTAATTTAATCTTAATATAAATTATTTTATTAAGGTAAATATGACTTAAAATAATAGTAAAATATCTTCTGTAATTTTTTTTAGATTTCTCTATTAATTTTATTATATTTAAACAGTAAAATATAGTAAATAGTAAAATAATATTAGTTTACCAACATTTTAATATTTATTTGTTATTAATATATTAAATAATAGAACAATACCTTAATATAACATATTAATAAAATGAACATATAACATATTAAAAAAATAAAAAGAAATTTTATCGTGTGATTTTAGTATGTCAAACCATTTTAATATTAATTTGTTTTTAATATATCAAACAATAAAATAATGTTTTAATATATACATTTAGTTTGATACTTTATCAAATGAAAATGGAGTGGTTAAGTGGTCAATGTTGATGTCCTCTATAACATAACTTAGGTTTAATTTCAGGTTTGAAGCCAAAATTATTTTAGTTTTTTCTAAAATTCTTATATTTTTAATAATTTAATAATATTTAAAATTAAAATAAATTAAAAATAAATAAAAGTACATATGAAAATAAAAATAATTAAAAATTAAAATTAATAAAATTAAAATAAATAAAAAAGAAAATAAATATTATATAAAATTAAAAATATTTGAAAACAAAAAAATATAATTCCACATTAACATATTTAATAAAAAATAAAAAAATATCAAATAATATGACACAAACAATTGACATGAATCATTTTCTGTTAAGGTAAAAAAAAATTATTTGAAAAAAAAAATTAGAGGTAAATTAAAATGGTCTATATGGCATGGCAAAAGTTGTAATAACTAAGAGCGTAAGTGGATCAGAAAAATTTAATTAAACTGACAATTTAAATTAAATTGAAATAAAATCGATTATTTTTGGTTTGGTGGTAAAATCGAACTGAACCAATAAAAATCGATATAGTTTGGTTTGATTCTCATATTTAGTTTTTAAGAACCGTCAAATCGATGAACCGAAACAATGAAAATAATGACACTATAAATATTTTATTTCACCCATTATTAAGCTTAAATTTTGTATCAGTGCAACCATTATCCATCTTTATTTACACTTCATTCCTTGTAGTAAAACAAAGTTATAAAATCAAACTCCAAAACATAGAAAATATAAACCATAATTCACAAAACACAAGTTTTCCTCTCACTATTATCATTCTGATACATTATGGTCGTCTTCTTCGTGTTAAAGTTGTCTTCATTAATTTTCATTTTTTTTTTACTTTTTTTTTCTTCTTCAATAAAATTCATTTTAATTTTGTTACAAAATAATTTTGATATGTGTTTGAGGTGTGAAAGATGTTAATTGATTTGTGTTTTATTTGTTAAGCTTTGAAATCATTTCTATATTCTGATGTCAAGTGTTAACTTTTATATTTGATTGTGAACTTATTTCATAATACAATGAAAATTATGTCACTGTTTCGTATAGATTAAGAGCAATTTGTAAATTGTTTGAAAAAATAGAACATGAAATAATTTACATAAAATATATTATTTTAAAAAATAATTGCATAAATACACAAAAAAATATGATAGTACAGAGAATACAATGATAAATATAATATTTAAAAATATAAATATTATAAATTGATCAACTAAATTAAACTAAACTGAACCAAATCAATTAATTTAATTCAGTTTTATTTTTAAAAAATATTAAAAACCAAACCAAATGAGGAACCATTTTTTTTTACAAAAAACTCAGTCCAAACCGATCCGACCATTGAGAATAACCCTTAAAAGAATAACACAAAAAGTAAAACACGGAAAAAGACCGCTTTCTTGTTCAATGTCGTCTTCTTCGAATGGTTGCCGCCCTCATCACCCCAATCACCACTGCCCACACTGCCCCCTCCGCCGTCACTGCCACCATTGCCCTCTCCACAACAACAACCCTTCTCACTTCTCCTCCCACAATTTCACTTCTTCTCCTCTTCAGACTCAAAACCTCCCTCCTCTTGCTCAGTAAGTTCCTTTCATTCTTCAAATTCGAGTTGTATAATCTAGGTTAGAGAAATTTGAAAACAATTAATTTGAAACTTTGAATCCTAGTTATTTCTTCAAATTCGAGTGTTAATAATTTGAAGAAAAAAATGATTAAATTAAACCTAATCATAAATGTTATTATAATTATAATTAGAAATTGAGAAGTAGATTGAATCATAGGTTTCAGAAAGGCTAATTTGTCTATCCTTTTTGTTTATCTATCCTACATGAAATTAACCTATGTTCTTATTTTTTTGGATGGCATCAGAATTTCACAAGAGCCGGAGCATATTGTGTTTGATGGTGTTGAAGAGGATGATGAACCCGTTTTTGTTATGACCGATGAATGGAGAGAGTTCTTTGCAAAATCTGAAGCTAGGAGGAAACTAGGTAACTCTTTTCATTACATACTCACAGCCATGTAATGCAGTTTATATATGCAGCTTAATTGTATTTTTGATTCTCAGCTGAACTTTCTGTTGAAAACTTGAGCATGTCATCTACTTTTAGATTATGAGTCTATTTAAAGTGGGTTATTTGAGCTTATCTATAAGTAAAAGCACTTGTGAGATTTTTTTTGAGAGGTTGTATAAACAATTCGTGAAGTGTTTAGAAGCTGTTTTCAGCTTGTTTATATAAAATCTTCTGGATAACATATGGAAATAGTTTGACTTTATTTTATCTTTTGTTATTAAAGTAATTTATACATAAACTTGGGTAAGCACTTATGCAATAAGCACCTTTGATACTAGGAACATTGATACATAGTTTAGGAATAAGCACCTTTGTGAGAGGCACACCACTTATCCACCTAAAACCTTAAGGTGATAGGTGAGTGGGTTCTCCCACTTATATAAAGTCTCTACGTTTCTATCCAATGTGAGACTATTTCCCCACTTACTCATACTTGCTAAATTATTCTAACACTTTTAAGTTACAGATTGCACTAACATCCAAAACTTAATCTCCGGTGTGGTGTATCTGAGTTTAAGTGATCTAGATAAGATGATTAGGAACAAGTCAATTATCAATTACGTAGCTCAGTTGTAATATTCCTTGATGTACATATCATACAGAGAAGAAGCTGGCCAAGAAGGGGAAAAAGTAAAAACAGAATGGAATTTTTGTCAACAAATATTTTTATGGATGATCAAGAGGTTGTTTGATGGCCGCTGACAACGATCCTGCTTTTGAAAAAGTTATGCCTTCTTAGCCAGATGTGGTTTGCAATGTATGAAAAACAAGGAGTCTTCTCTACACTTTTTGTGAATTATGTCAGTAATTATGTAAGCCCGTCTTATGTTCATATATATTAGTATTTGTTCAGGAGTCTCACAATTGAAATTGATACGGTCTCAATATACATAAATGGGACAATCTTCACATTATAAACTTGTGTGGTTTGAGTTTAACTCATCTCTATAAAGCCTTTTACGGATGAGGATTATCTCCGCTTAATGCGAAACTCTTCAATAGTATTTTTTTTATAAAGATGGCCTATATTATAACTTTTTAGTGTTCATATTCGTATACATTACCCGAACGGTAATGTATTTAGACAAATTTGAGTATAGGGAGGATGGTTAAAAAAAATTTCCAACAAAATATCCGAATCATGTATTTCTTTTTAAAAAGGGGTTACCCAACAAGTCAAGAAACAAAATACTAAAAACCCCTAGCAAGAAGTAAACTCAAGAACAATGAAGAAGTTCCCAAGACCACTGCCGAACTCGAATTATATTTAGGTAAAACATTTGGAACTATGTTTTTTGATAAACATGTTGAACAAAAAAATCAAATAACTAAATGATAAACTATATTTGAGCATGAACACTCCCCACCCCTTCATCATCAATGCAACAACATCTTGTGAATCTAATTTAACCACCATTTTCCTTAAATCATAATTCAAAGCAAAGTTCAAAGCCATTTGAAAGGCCCAAAGTTCCAGTGGAATTTTATCAGTATATAACCATATATAACATAGAACAAAAATACAAATTAAACAGAACCCAGTTAATCTATAGTTTCAGCAATATATGCAATGATACAAAATCTTTATATCCACTGATCATGATGGAGTAGTAGGAGAGTTAGGGATACAGAAATAACAAGCCCAAGGATTAAACAAACAATTAGTAGGAGTGATCCCACAATAATCTTTATAATCTAGAAAACCTCTTCCTGCACCTTCACAACCATTCAAAGTTGTTGTCATAACAAGGAGAACTAATATTAAGGAAAATGGTGATCTTTTCATTGTATATATCATGATATGAGTTTCTCTTAACTTGCTTTGTGTGCATTAAGGTAGCTCCTGTTATTACAATTTATAAATCCACCTATCCGAGTGAAGGGGACTGTTGGTTGCTTTAGACGTAAAGTGAATTAAATTTATGTGTTGTTTTCAGAAAGTTAAGGTAATTTATTTTACGGTTTTAAATTCCTAGTTTAACCAAAGGACATATTTGTTATTTATAACTAGGTTAATCATAATGATATGAAATTAAGAGGAAAATGGAGAAGTTGCATATCACAATGCCTTATTTATAACTAGACTAATCAGGATAGTTGAATGGTTTTATTGTTAGTGTTACAACTTGACTTTCCTAACCCTAAGAAAGAGATCAACATGCTCAACAGAAATCTCACCAACACTTAGAATTCTAATCCTTTCAACAAGAAAAAGCAGCTTATGGACAATATCAAAGGCAGAATAAGCCAATTACTCCACCAGGAGAAGATTTGGAGGGCCCAAGAGAGGGTGACAGGAATAATAAGTTCTTCCATCAAAAAGCCAATCAAAGAAGAATTTGCAATATGATACATTCTATCATTAAGCCTAATGGTGAAATCACCCACAAAGAGGAGGAGATTCAAGATAATATGTTGCAATTCTATACGGAACAATTCAAAGCTGATAGGCTAACTATTCATCCGGGTTGTGACACTAGCAAGTAGGGGTGTTCAAATCCAAACCAATCCAAATAAAAAACCAAAAACCGATCCAAAAAACCGAAAACCATAAAAAATCGAAAGTTATTGGTTGTGTTTGGATGTTATTTTATGAAAACCGATCGGTTCGGATTGGATTTCAGATGAATTTTTCAAAACCGATTCAAACTAAACCGAACCGCATAAATATATTTTGATACTTATTTACTTTTTATTAGTGTGACATGTTATGTGAATTTATTATTAGATGATAATATTTTTTTTAATAATATTTATTAGTTTGGTATAATCTATTTATTTTTATTATTTCAAGCATAATCAATCACTCTCATTTTGTAATATTAACTTTTAATATACTATATGTTATATATTATATCAAATCTATGATTTATTAGTAGTTTTATAATATTAATAAAAATATAATGTGTAATTTGGATATCCAAAAACCGATCCAAATTAAACCGCATAAAATTGGATCGGATCAGATTGGATTTTTTTAAATGTATCATCCAAAACCGAACCGAACCTTAAGTGAATTAATCTTTGGATCGGATGAGTTTTTGCTTTAAAACCGATCCAAACCGAACCGCGAACACCCCTACTAGCAAGAGCAACAAAATCCTTGAGGATCTCGTGCTTCAAATTAGAGACCTTTCACTAGAGTGGAGGAGGTTAATTCTACGAGAAACTTAAATAGCTACTATTATAAATAACATTTGTTATGATGAAATTTTTAGTTCAAACATGCTAAAAATCGAGAGTATAGGTCATGGAGGCGTCGTGTTTGTTTTTTTTAAAGAAAATAAACAATTTTTTTCTTCAGTGTTATAAAAAATTGAGATAATACATTATAAGTGAGCATCATTTTTATTCATAAAAAGATAATAAATCTATTCTCTCGTTTTTTTGGAAAATCGAGGAAATATAGTTGTAAGGTGTCTTGTTTCGAATTCCCGTTACTGCATTTAAAGTTTTTCTCAACGATTTATCACTTGACATCTTTTCAGATTCCATGTTTTTTTTAATTAATAATTCTCAAAATATTTGTTATCAATAAACAAGAATAGACAATAATAAAAAAAAAGAATATTTCATTGATAATAAAAAAAAAATAGGACAACAAAGATAACTATTCCACATATTCAAACTTCTCACTCCACTCAACTTCAACATTATCCCTAACTATCCCTAACTTAGAGAAAAGTTCAGAAATAACTCTTCTATATGGTATGAGAAAAGTCATTTCCTCCCGAGAGATGCTTATCATTTATTTTAAGAAGTTAAAAATAGTAAGAGGACGATTAACTCTAACGTTGTGGTTAAGGAAGTACAAGAGATACTTGTCACCTCAAGTAAGTGTTTTCAAATGTTTATCTCTTGGACGGAGATTTGACAATAGAAATTGAAAACAAAATTTTGTAATTGGGAGTAAAAAAACAGGACTAGTGGGTCTATCTTGGTTGGTATAAATTCGGTGAAGACGGATTGAATAGACATTATTGAATTTATAAATGTTCAACACAACTATCAAATTCTTCACAGTTTATTGTCTCAGCAATAAGTGATAGAGTAATGAAGAAATGAGAGTCGTTGACATATGAGTGAATCACTTCATCATGACTAGCTAGCACAACAAAGGAATTTAACCAAAACTCTTTAACAAGATTAGTGTAGATGTGATAATGAATATTGTGAAAGTAACCATTCAACTGTTGTTTGGAAATAACTTTACTTAGATCAAAACCCTTTTCTGGCAAATCATCGAAATCAACAAACTTTTCATTGATAACGAACAAAAAATTTGCATTCATTTTTGAATAAAAAAGACTTTGAAATGAAGACACAAAGAGTTGGAAATGAAACGTTGAAAATAGGAAAATAATTTGAAACAGGGTTTGAAGACACCAAGAGTTGGAAATGAGACGTTTAAATAGCTCAAGATCCTCCTTAAAAATCCAAAAGATGTTGGGTATCAAAATAATGTGAAATAATAATAACAATAGCACAAGTAAAATTTGAGAGTTAAGTGTAGGAATAAGAAGAAACACAATTGTAGCAAACTCTTGGATGATTAGGATGATTAGGATTACAATATGATTACTCTATATATAATAGTTTCATATACTATTATAAGTAGATACTTATTATTGGATTCTACGTAATCTTCTCTGCATCATAGAAAACCAATGACTTATAATGCATTGAATTTTTCTACAAAATAAAGATTACTTTATGTCCTCACAATCTCCCACTTAAAGTAATTTTGTTTGCTTTCAAAAAATTTGCATCCCTTGTTAATTCCATGTTGCTACGTTTTAGATAGGCCATAAGAAGAATTGCACCAATAAAACTTATCAGCGTTGATCGGCTTTGTCATAACATCTGCTAGGTTGTCTTTTGTGTGAATATTTTGCATGTCCACATTCCCTTCCTCTACTACTTCGCGAACGAAATGGTATTGAACTCCTATGTGCTTTGTCTTGGAATGAAAAACTGGATTTCTTGCAATGTGCAAGGCACTTTGATTGTCACAATACACAATAATTTTTGGTTGTTTGTATCCGAGCTCTTCCAATAACCTTTGAATCCATATAGCTTCCTTGCATGCTTGGATAGCTGCCATATACTCAGCTTCTGTAGTAGATAGAGCTACAACAGTCTGCAATTTGGATAACCAGCTTACTGCTCCTCCTGTAATTGTAAACACATAGTCTGTAGTAGATTTTCTTTTGTCAAGATCACCTGCATAATCTGAATCAACATATCCTCTGACACCAAACTCCAATCCTCCAAAACATAACGCAACATCTGAGGTTCCTTTAATGTATCTCAGAATCCTCTTCACAACATTCCAATGCTCTTTACCAGGATCTGCCATAAACCGACCGCTCCCACTGCATGTGCAATGTATGGCCTTGTACATATCATGGCATACATAAGGCTTCCCACTGCTGATGCATAGGGTACTCGAGACATTTCCATCCTCTCCGCTTCATTGCTAGGATTCATACTTGAGGATAATTTATAATTGATAGGAAGTGGGGTAGATATTGACATACAGTCTTGCATGTTGAAGCGCCGCAAAACTTTTCGTAGATAATTTCTTTGAGAAAGCCAAATCTTCCTATCTTTTCTATCTCGGTGAATTTGCAT